AATCTGTAAGTACACCACTAAATGCCATTAAATGATACACACCGGTCCTTTAAACATGGTAGACCTCAATAAAGACCAGATCCTCTCTGTGGCCGATGAGATGCAGATGCTATTATATTTATATTAAATGGAAAATATTTGATATCCATTCAGTGTTATTTGTCTCGTGGCAGAATGGATCAGTGAGCCAGTGGCTGGATGTTGTTAAAAACTAAAACCACCATCTTTCTTGAACCTTAACTAGGTGCAGAATCTCTGAAGACAAATAAATATCATCATCATCATTTTGTTGCCACTAATAGAAAAACAAATGAAATACGATTTCTATGATGGATGATGAATAACGTTAACAGTTACTGACTTATTAACCGGCTACAAACCGGCTCCTTTCCCGCTTTATGCCTCTCCTTTTCCTGCCTGAACCCGCTGTGTCTTCGTCATCCCAGTAGTCGGTTATGTTGCCAACTCACCCAGCTCTGGTTAAAGTGAAGAGCTGAAAACATCAGATCTGTGTGGAGTGACAGTAAATCACCTGACCTCTGTCGGTTTCGTTGCCCGCTCTGCCGGCTGCGGTTCTGGTGCTCATTCTCCTCTGCTAGTAGTGTAATCAAACCTCCCTCATCCTTCGAACTCCCAGTAGGCAGCTAATAGGACCACGAAGTTGGTAATGGTAGCTGGTACTATTAGCACATGCAGCAAACACTTCCTGTGAGAAAGAGAAAAGGCACAGCTCCTGAACAGAGTTTGCTGAAAAGTGGGTTGACTAAGACTCCTCTCATCAACTAGCAGCCTTTATTGTGTTTAATAAAAGATTATGGAAGTGTTCTCTGACCTCTGTAAACCAGAAACAAGTCTTTGTTATAAGCTGAATATTCAATATTGTTTATTAACCTCCACATTATATCTTTCTTCTCCAGTCAGCACAGTTTGGTAGTGGTGAAGGCGAAGCACCTCCGCTGGCTGGGTCTGCGCTCTCTGAAGGAGGTAAGTGCCGGGCAGGTGATATTGAAGGACAACTCTCAGCTCTGCTACACCGGGCGCGACCAGTGGACCCGCCTCTTCAGATCCAGTGACCAGAAAATCAGCATGCGCAACAACGGCCCACCAGACGTGTGCAGTGAGTTTCTGGATGTGTGTCGCAGTCACTGCTGACATCTGTGTTTATGAATGAAGGGAAAGAAATAAGAAAACCTTCTTGTCACCCTCAGAACAACAGAATCAAACCTGCGACACAGAGTGCACAGATGAGGGCTGCTGGGGTCCAGGTCCCACCATGTGTGTCTCCTGTCAGCATTTCGACCGAAGGGGGCGCTGTGTGGCGTTCTGTAACCTGCTGCAGGGGTGAGACAGTGCTGGGACATGAACCGTGCTCACACACGTGTGTGTTGATGTTCAGTTTTTAAAGATGCACAAGATGACTCAGTGAGACACGGCAGGTTGAAGTTTGTAAATAATAATATAATATTCATATATATTACTTTATACTCCACGTTTTAATTACATGCTTGTGTAGACAAGAAGCCCTGAGGACTTTGTGTGTGAGGATTGAAAAGTTTAGCCACTAGGGGGCAGATCAGGGCCAAATCACCCCTAGCCACAACTGGAATTTCTTAACTCAAAACTAAATATTTTGCACAACAACAACCACACTAAAGCACCAGTATCTTAGACCAAAACAATGTTATGGAATCAAACTCACCAAAATCGTCTCTGTTAGTCTGTCCAACAATCACCAACTCTGGTTTGGTGTAAATAAATCCTTAATTCATTCGTTTGATGTGAAAATGTTTAAGAAAAAGGCTGCAATGGTTGCAACATGAACTAACGTTAATCCTTGGGGTCAAATCCATCCATTAAAAGTTGATTGTTATTGTCAGTGTCTGAC